GGGGGTCGACTCAGCCTCTAACAGGAAGGAGTACCAGGAGACTTCCTGGGGGCTAAAGGGCGGCCAGCACTTAAAGGTGCCCACACACGTACGAGTCTGGCTCGCGAGTCCGACTAAGCTCGGGTTCCAATGAGCCAAACTTGTCCGTGTGTGGGTCGCAAAGTTGGGAGTGAGTTCATGCGTTTGTGGTGAAATTAATCCGAGACCGGCTCCCGAGTCAAGCTCGCCAAGCCGGACACGCGAGCCAGACTAGTACGTGTATGGGCTCCTAAAGGCTGACAACCTCACCGCTCTCTGTGAGCCGATTGTCTAGAGAAAATGTGGGAACCTCGTCATCTCACAACCCTATGAGCCTCCACGGCCTGCTACAGGGATAGCTTTACCTTTAACTTTATTTACCTTTAATATGAAAACTAAATATTTTATTTTTATCTATGATTGAATATATTCTTGGTTTATTTAATGACGGTTCTTAGACTACATGGGTTATATGGTGTCGAACTGTAAGATAATAAATAATATAATAATTTCAAAGTTGTAGGCTGTATCGGTTATGAATATTCCAAGATATAGGCCTACTATCCAAGCAACGTTTTTAATTAAGGTATATGGCTATCAGAACGAGATTCGAAATCGGGACCTTTCACATATGACTTAGAAATACCAACTAGTCAGTCGCAATGTCCCTTCATATGTTGATTATATTATACACAGGATTAAATATTGTGACGTGTATACCTTTGCTAAGCTACGAATCAGTAAAACACGTCTCCTTAACAATAGAGAATATATTTTCCGTGGGGTCCGTGCGAAGTGGTTACAAGGGATGAGTCGTTTAGAGAACAGTAGTCGATATTGAAGAGTCGAAATTCGAGACGCCAACCAGCCAGGATACGAGCTTGGGAGTAGAGGAAATAAATTTAGTTGGCAATTGCAGGATAATTGCAAGAAAGGAATTAGGCTGTGAGAAGGATACCTCATGTGTAGCCTAAAGTGACAGTAAGATTGTTATACATCCGTTGCCAGGATACGACTAGTGAAGACTGAGAATCCTAGTGCGTGTGTAACAATGAATTGGAAAGTGTGTAGAATAGCGATAGTGCTGTATTGCCTGTAGTTCCGAGTTGTGGGAATGTACAACGTGCAATCAATCCAATCATCCAATCCAAAACCCGTCTACAGTCACTAATACACGTGATAGTATAATACAAACTTTTGTGGTGTTTTCCAATTAATGTCCGAACCGAAATATTTCAGTAGATTCAGCGAGTAGGTTTTAAGCTCATGTTTTGATTTCCGGCAAGGATGGATTTTTTTTTCTGTTCTCCACAGTACCCAGATGACCCTCTGGAGTCCACTCAGCTTCCTGTCTAGTGGTCAATGGTGGTAAAGCAGCGGGGGAGTAACGCTGTCCAATCGTCTCCACACAGAGCCGAGATAAAACATACGTGAAGCAGTTATTCCACTCTCACCTATACCTCCACAGTGATATGCTTAATTAAGCACAAAAAGAACTTAACTCCGGCCACGGTAGCTGAGCGGTCTGAGGCATGCACTGTTTTCGCTCGTTCGGAAGTCGAGATCGTGGGTTCGAAGCTCACACAAAGCATGGATGTTTGGTATATGTTTGTGTTGTCCTGTGTTTAGGTAGAGGCCTTGCAACGAGCTGATCACTCATCCAAGGAGTCCTACCGTCTGTAAAATGATCAAAATGGAAAAAAACAACCTCTACACCGTAAAGGTATAAGAGGAACGGCTTAAGTAAGTAAGACAATTTTATCTTAAACTTTCAAATAACTCAAATATCACATTATAATTCTCTCCATCTCTGTCACTTTCCTAGGAACTGAGCTTTGTAACAGTGACATTTTTGTGTGGATGTGACTTCTTCCCCCAGGATATAAAATATTTTTAATCATCATGAACAGGTATAGAATGTAATTAAAACATGGTTAGCTTGACTTTTTATTGGAAATTGTTATTGGAGTTAGACGTGATTAGATTGGAGCAGTAATTTTTTTAATAAATGCGATTTTCAACGTTTTGTGGTCTTCACTTGCCCTTAACCTCTCAAAAACTGTTTACGTACTACGCAGCCCGTCAACACTGCAACAACCTGTTCCTTCTTTCTTTCACTTTCAATTTCGATACAACATGTTTCGGCCCTAAATGGACATCTTCAGGTGTCATACTATGCTAAAACTGCTACACTTCACTAATGTTATCCATTCATCACATATTCAACTGCACACTTCATGATTTAAAACATCATAATCGGAGTCTGACTGGTACCACACGTTGTAGTTCACTTAATTTAAATCAAATAAAATCTATTAATGTTTTCTTAAAATTTTGTAAAATTTTTATCACACCTCACAAGGGTCGTCGTCCATTTGTTTAGATCTGTATCCTTTTCATCAGATGTTTCATTGCAGCAGCCTCTTTTCCTCTTCGCAAGCCTGTTATTGTGTTACATCTGCAATCTGTAATTTTATCCCTTGCTTGTGCTTTGTTCGCTCTAGCAGCGTGTGGTGTTGTCTTAGATACAGTAATGCATTAATATTAATTACTCTTAGCCAAGTATAATTTCTTTTACTGGCTCTACAGCCCCATTTGGCCCTGGCCTCTGATTTGTCAGTGTCATGATCATTTTACAGACGGCAGGACTCCTTGGACGAGTGATCAGCTCGTCGCAAGGCCTCTACCTAAACACAGGGCAACACAAACACAGAATATACATATACAAAAAAAAACAAACTCCATGGCCTGTAGTCCGTAAGCGAACTATACCGACCGAGCGACCGCCGCTTGACGGCGAAGACACATACACACACACACCAAACATCTGTGCATTGTGTGGGATTCAAACCCATGATCACGGTTTTCGAGCGAACCAAGACAGTGCATGCGTTAGACCGCTCGGCTATCGTGACCGGCGCCAAGTACATATAATTAGAATGATCAAGTCAACGATGAGATGGTCAGGGAATGTAGCACACAAGGGGTAGAAGAGATATGTACGTATATGGGATTTTGATGGGAAAGCCAAAAGAAAGAGACTAGTGAGTAAGACATAGAAGTAGTGAGAGGATAATATTAAAATGGATATTACATAGGATGAAGTTGTGTAGACTGAATTCGGCTGGCTCAGGATAAGGACCAGTGGAGGACTCTTATAACGAATTTTCAGGTTACATAGAACGTTGGAAAATTCTTGAGTTGCTGAGCGGCTGTCGGCTCCTCAAAAAGGACTTAGTTCCGTGGAGTTAGTTAGTTAATCATTAACATTTAATTACCCACAAAACATTGAGGCTATCGTTCGCGACAGAGTCTCGTTTCAAGTCCTTCCTTCTTCAGGTTGGGCCACAGTGCTTTAGGATTTGACACCAACAGATAAAGAGGACGTGTTCATACTCCACAACGCGCTGACAACACGAAAGATTTAAGCTAAATAAGGGGAATGAATGCGCACGCGCGGAAAGCTAAGTCGGGTGAAACTGTTCATGTTTCTACGTACTAATCTCACAGCCACCCTTTGTGATCTTTCGCTCATTGGGTCTTCGGGATTAATTCACTGGAGCAAGATTCCATTGATGGAGTACGTGAAGAACAAGTTAATGTTACTCTCTGCCCTGTTCTCTAACCCCCTCTCTCACACATACAAAATATATGATATTTAACAAACATTTAAGTAGTCATAGTCGGTATAGCGACTAGCTACGGGCTGGACGACAGAGGGTTCGGAGTTAGAGTCCCGGTAGGGTCAAGAATTTTCTCTTCTCCACGTCGTCCAGACCGGCTCTGGGGTCCACACAGTCTCCCATCCAATGGGCATCGAGGGTGCTTTCCTTGGGGGTAAAGCGGCCGGGGCGTGAAACTTACCACTCACCTCCAACTAGTGCAGAGATCAAGAAAATATGGATCTATACATCCACTCCCCCATACGCCTTCATGGCATAGTGCTTAATTAGTTAAGCACAGGGACAACTTCACCCTTTTGTCACAGCTTGAATGAGAGAGCCATGGTTTGCATATTCTGATTTGCCTTTGCACAAAAAAATTAAAATGAAGAAATGTTGTCTGGCTGTTTGCCTGTCTATTCGTCCATCCGTATATTTGATCCACCTCCAGAACTAGTTGATGGATTCCTGTTAATTTAAATAAGGAGAAGAGAAAAATCCAAAACTTTCCAACAGAATTTAATTTCGGTTCATATCTATCTAATAAAACCCCTAAAACGCGTGTGGTAAATATGAACACCCATGCACTCTTATTAAATCTTAGAATTTAGTTGCTACCAGTAGCAGATAATTCTGGAATAATACGCCTTCACTCTGCGGTTTCATGCAATTTGTCAGTTCTTTATTATTTGCCTTTTGCCTGGATTTCTTCATTTTCCATTCCCATATAGTAACTTCTAGCCATCTCCTCTGGGCGTTGCTACATCTGTTCTGCCTTCTGCTTCACTTTTAAAATGTTCTTACTCGCCCTTGTTTGATCCATTCTCCCACCCCACTTCTTTTAATATCCAGTACAGCGTTTTGCTGAATTCAGGAGATTGGGTGGAAGTTATACTGAGAGCACGGAAAGAGGTGCCATGCATCGACAACCCCCACTACTCCCTCAAGCTGTTGCGTATCCCCTCTCCAGTGTATTTCCCTGTGATCCCTTCCAGTCGTCTCTGTATTCTGTTCACACGAAAGTTAGCAGCGATAACCGCGGCTCGGATAATGCAGATCTGAGGGGACAGGAGGGGAGAAAATTAGGAGGCAGGGAGGGGGAAGTCTTGAATGCCGCCATACCATCCACAGAACTCCTCTCTAGACATCAGTATGCGGAGTTATATATTGTTATTGTTTTCCTGTTTTTAAATATTAAATGACAGAAATAAATACATACAAATTAAAATATACATTATTATAATCACGGAGCCGCTGGAGGGTTGCTTGGGATCCATATATTTTCAAGTGGACGACAAGTTCTTCCAACAGAAAGATGGCATGGCTATGGGAAGCTCCTTATCACGTATTGTGAGCAACATCTTCATTGAGAATTTTGAGAAATCGTCTCTTCAGTCGGCACAACATAAACCATCGCTGTGGCTCCGTTACATTGATGACACTTTTGTTGTCTGGCCTCATGGTCCGGAGTGGTTACAGGATTTCCTCAGCCACCTCAATAGTTTAAGGCCGTCCATTCAGTTCACTATGGAAATAGAGTCAGAGAGTGCGATTGCCTTCCTTGATGTTGTGGCCCTCAGGAGAGAGGCGACAGTTGCCACCAAAGTCTACAGGAAACCCACCCACACTTACCGATACCTCAACTTCAACTCTAACCATCCGCCGCTTGCGAAAATGGGTTTAATTCAGAGTCTGCACAACAGAGCTTCCACCGCATGCCAAGAACTACAAGACCTGGTTAAAGAAATCGGCAGCCCGAGAAGTGATCTCCAGCTCAATGGTTATCCGTAAGGTTTCATTGACTCGGTCATTAACTCCAAAGGTAGCAGGTGTCCGAATAAAGAGCAAAAGCCTCTGGGCTCTGTGTACATCCCATATGTGAAGGGTGTTTCTGAGAAGTTCAAATCGATAAAACTTCAGGACGATCTTCAGAACTAAACACACACTTAGGGGTTCACTCATGAGAACCAGGCCGGAAAGAGATTCGCAACAGACGGCACAGTGCATCTACAGTATTCCCTGTGAGTGTGGAAGAAGCCATATTTGGGGAACAGGCAGACCTCTAGCCGTTCGGCTCCGTGAGCATAGGCACAATCCCCAACAGGGTCTTCTAGAAAAGTCAAAATTAGCCCAGCATGCCTAGAAGATTGTCATAGGGCAGGCTGGGATGAAGCTAGGAATTTCGAAATTGTAAGCAGCAGCATGTATAGAAAGTACAAGAAATCGACCCATGTTGCATGCTTAACAAATCCAATCAGCTAACCCAGTTCGGACTTTCCTCCCACCTGGATATCTCTTATGAGCAATGAGGTTACCAACTCACAGAGATCAGTATGCTGTGACAGGTTTCTATACGGTTCAGTTTTTACTCCACAGATGGGGCTAGCAAGGCTCAAATTTGTTTAACAAATTCTCCATTTAATGCTACACATTGGGTTTCATGGACCCGGTTTATTGGCTAGGTTTGTTGCAAAATACGAATATTTACCTCCCTTTCTAGCTTAGTTTGAAGTCCATGCATACTTTCCTGTTATCTCTCAGGTAATTAAATAGCTGTAGTGGATCTGACAGGGGTAGTCCAGTGATTGAGGTTAGCTCTTTCTAATGGACCAAATAGAGTAGGTATATGAAGGTACTCCTATATAAGGTATGCAATCTACACAACAATATTCTGTATTTATAAAAACAAAGAAGACACCACTATATCAACATTTGTTTATATGTATTTGTTTTTACAAACGCAACATGTTTCGACCCTCATACCGGGCCATCATCAGGCATACAATGCTCAAGCTTCAGCTATTGAATTGCAATTAATTTTTATTTAGCTCTTCAAATGAGGATCCTTATTATATATTGAAATTATTTAAATGCATAAATTCATAAATTGAGTTTTTTTTGGTCACAATTTAAAATTTAAAAATGCTTAAATAATAAAATTTAATTTAATAATTAAATTTTCACCAAAAAGACTGGATTTATGCATTTAAATAATTTAAATACATAATAAGGATCCTTATTTGAAGAACTAGATAAAAATTAAGTGCAATTCGATAGTTGTAGNGGTATATGAAGGTACTCCTATATAAGGTATGCAGTCTACACAACAATATTCTGTATTTATAAAAACAAAGAAGACACTACTATATCAACATTTGTTTATATGTATTTGTTTTTACAAACGCAACATGTTTCGACCCTCATACCGGGCCATCATCAGGCATACAATGCTCAAGCTTCAGCTATTGAATTGCAATTAATTTTTATTTAGCTCTTCAAATGAGGATCCTTATTATATATTGAAATTATTTAAATGCATAAATTCATAAATTGAGTTTTTTTTGGTCACAATTTAAAATTTAAAAATGCTTAAATAATAAAATTTAATTTAATAATTAAATTTTCACCAAAAAGACTGGATTTATGCATTTAAATAATTTAAATACATAATAAGGATCCTTATTTGAAGAACTAGATAAAAATTAAGTGCAATTCGATAGTTGTAGCTTGAACATTGTACGCCTGATGATGGCCCGGTATGAGGATCGAAACATGTTGCGTTTGTAAAATCAAATATAAGCAAATGTTGATACAGTAGTGTCTTCTTTGTTTTTATAAATACAAAATATTGTTGTGTAGACCGCATACCTTATATACGTATCTTTATATACCTTATCTCCCACTCACCTGACGACGGAAACAAAATTAGTTTGCGAAATGTTGTGTTCTCTAATTTCTAGAATACCGGACGATGGACGAANCAGCTATTGAATTGCAATTAATTTTTATTTAGCTCTTCAAATGAGGATCCTTATTATATATTGAAATTATTTAAATGCATAAATTCATAAATTGAGTTTTTTTGGTCACAATTTAAAATTTAAAAATGCTTAAATAATAAAATTTAATTTAATAATTAAATTTTCACCAAAAAGACTGGATTTATGCATTTAAATAATTTAAATACATAATAAGGATCCTTATTTGAAGAACTAGATAAAAATTAAGTGCAATTCGATAGTTGTAGCTTGAACATTGTACGCCTGATGATGGCCCGGTATGAGGATCGAAACATGTTGCGTTTGTAAAATCAAATATAAGCAAATGTTGATACAGTAGTGTCTTCTTTGTTTTTATAAATACAAAATATTGTTGTGTAGACCGCATACCTTATATACGTATCTTTATATACCTTATCTCCCACTCACCTGACGACGGAAACAAAATTAGTTTGCGAAATGTTGTGTTCTCTAATTTCTAGAATACCGGACGATGGACGAAGTCCAAAGTCCCAGTAATTCTGAGTGTTATGCACCATCGTCAGAACCTTTTGAAATCTACTTATATGTGAACTGATGTGTCTACTTTTCAAGATGTTACATAAAGTGCGTGAAACCCTTGCTAAGGGGGAGCCCCACCTCTGCTACACATATCCTACATGAAGTGCTGAGTTAGCGTTCGAAAACTGCACACATGCTCGCTCTGTGCCACGTCATCATACAGCAGCTCTGAGTGTTTCTACTGTCTTCCGTCTCAGCGTTTAACATTCACACGTCATCGAACGGTTTCATACGGCACAACGCGAGTCCCTAAGGGCGAGGGTAGACCAAGGACGCAGGCAAACTCAACGCAACCGCAACGTCCGAGAATTGTCGTCGATATCAAGCAGGCAACTGATTTCCAGATTAGCAAGCGCACGCTGAGGAAACTTGTTTGCTCACATCATCTCAAGAGCTTATGTTCGTCCCACGTAATGCGGGATTGTATTTTTTTACTTTAATTAACTTCTGCAAATGTCAGATAGTAATACTGATCCTGTAACAATATGGCGGTAGTTGAGACCGGTTGAGACGGCGTGAGAAGAGAGGACGACGACCGTAGGGGAAATATTGGGATGTTAATTAATTTGTTTTAATTAAGGTCAGTTTATTTTAATAAGGAAATATCGCGTTCACACGCGGAACTAAAATTTTGACATGCAGTAAAACTAGAAGACACCTGAGACCGCCTCTGTGGTCTAGTGGTCAGAGTTCCTGGCTACAGATCCAGAGGTCTGGGTTCGACTCCCGGCGCTACCAGATTATCTGAGAAGTAGTGGGTCTAGAAAGGGGTCCATTTAGCCTCGTGCGGATAATTAAGGAGCTATTTCAAGGAAATAGCGGCTCCGGTCTAGAAAACCGAAATTAACGGCCGTGGGGATTCGTTGCGCTGAACACGCAACACCCTCTATACGCTAAAGTTGGCAATATCTTCGCTGACAAGCGGTGGTCGCTCGCTCGGTATAGTTCGCTTGCGGAATACAGGCCACGGCGTTTGTTTTTGTTTTTAGAACACACTTGATGATGGCCGTATGGAGTTAAACCATGTAATGTGACTACGAGTATATAAGAAGTTGTATTTAAGAAGGAAATATATGTGAAATAAATGGTCTATATGAATGCAACAGGATGTTTAAATGCAATATTAGGAAAAGAAAACATTAGGTGTATCCGTTCTTCTGTGACAGTTTAAACGGAGGCACTTATATTGTTTCGAAAGAACTTAACCTGGATCCAGACTCCTTCTGATGAGAAATTCTTTCCCAAGCCAAATCTATTTTGTCCTGCCTAACATAGTCTGGGTGGCATTTGTCATATATACCAGGCTCTTGCTCAATTAACAGCACAAGAACAAAATTAACGCCTTCGTCAACCTTTCGTGTCAACTTAAGAAACAAGTAAGTCTCTGACGCGCGTTATAGAACAGCTGACACTAGGAAACCACGCGGCAACGAAATTGTGAGAAGACAAGCATGCTCTGTTGCCTGGAAATTGAGTTTCTCAGTCTTCCCGCGAGTTGCGTTGCCTTTTCTGTAATTTGCGCTGCTCCATTTACTAACATGTGTTCAACTCAAGCTGATAACAATTCTCGAAAATCGCGGTTGCGTTGCTGTTGTCAGTTTCCTTGGTGTTCCCTTGCCCTAAGAGTTTCTTCAGCAGTTCATTGCACTGTAGTGACGGTTTCCCAGGAACACGTGGAATTTGTTCTCTGTCTTCACACCCATACGCTTGAAATTTGCACGTTTGAACTAAGGCGATCACTGAAAAGAATTCTTGCAATCGATACCCTACTAATGCCACACAGAAGGGGGAATTCACTCCTGCAGAAGCATTACACACTGGCGCCACCATGTAAGAAACTCCTGAAATAACCATCGTAAATTTTAATCACCTATGAGGCACGAAGACTGGATTACAACAGACACAGCTGGATGGCCCTGAACAGTGGCCAGGAACTGAGCATTTCAGAGATCGCTAACAATTTAATGTAACAGCTGGGGGTCAAATCGTCATAAAGAAGTACACATTAGTTCCATGGAAACGAGCAGGAGGGCGCAGATGTGGGTGTTTGACGCATGTGTGGGTGGTACAGCGATCCCAACAGACAGAAAGCGGCGGTGTCGAGGTTAGCAGCGGGAGTTCGTATCCATTCTTGTTGGACTGCGCTGTCATTCTGGTTTTGAACACAGATGTGCAGGAAACTGAAAGGATTAACAATGTTCCATTACGTCAACATTTTTATATGAGGATAGTCTCACCTTGAGGCAATCTCTGTTGCCCTTGTAAGGTTAGAAAGAAACAAGTCGCGCGTGACGTCACAAAGTAAGTATCAGTTTCCAACAAGCAACAACCGTGGATGGGTATCGTTGGACATTTCAGCTTCGTCGCATGCAAAGCTCTCTGTAGCCTTAAGTCGTCTGATCCCTCATAAGGAGTAAGAGGAATTATAATAAAGCTTATATTTGGCGTTGT